CTGTATAATGTATTATTGCTGGGATTTGTAGTCCTCTATACAGCGCAGTGCAGAATATCACCAACTATAGAGTACAACAAATCCCAGCAATAGTACATTATACATACAGTATATAATGTATTGCTGGGATTTGTATTCCCATGTATAATATACAGCACAATGTACCATCAGCTATAGAGGAATAAAAATCCCAGCAATACATTATAGAGCACCACGTGTGGGAAAGTGCAGGCTTATACCTGAGCAGTCTTCCAGCAACTTGCTTCTGAGATCGGGCCTGTCAATCTGCCGCTGTCATCCCCCCACACCTGCTCCTCCTTACTACATCTCCCCGCGTCCCTATGCCGATGGAGAATGTGGGAGGGCGGTGAGTGTGAGGCGGGAAGGAGGTGCGGCGTGTAAAGCGTGGATGCGGGTCTGGCAGCGTTGAGCGTGAGTTAGGGAGGAGGTGGGGCTCGCAGCCTGTGTGGAGCCGTGAACAGGGCCAACTGATCAGAAGCCGATTAATCGATTATTGAAAAAGTTGACAACTTTTTCAATAATCGATTATGTCGATTAGTTGTTGCAGCCCTATGTTAGTCCATGTATTCCTTTAAAAATAATTAAATCCTTGAAGGTATTTTTACATACATCCAGCACCTGAATTGGTTTCAGCCTCCTGCCATTCCTGTACAGCACCACTCAGACCAAGAGTCAAAGGGACAGCAGGATGAGCCAATCCGGCTCTGCTACGTACACATGTGCAGTCAGAGGACACACTGACAGAAGAACAAAGCATAGAGTAAGCAAAGCTGATGAATTTTCAGTGTTTCTGATCCTTCATAGTGGAATCAGTCAGCAGTGGTGAGAGGGGGGAAGGGGGTTGACACCACTGTATTTCATAGCTCTAACAAAACGTGGTGTTGCTGTCTGGCAGAGGTGTATATGGCTAGGCAGAAGTACAGAATTACAAATTATTTGGTAAAAAAGACAGTTCACATATGTGTATATGCTATTTGCCTGATGCAGATTTAAATTAGTATGTCCATTTTTTTATTTTTTTTACAGTCAAATGCTTCTGTCTGGCACAATATCGCTATATGCATATCTTTTAAGAGTCGTCTGAGTGCCACCAGCCTTTATTATGATGCTCTATTGTACTGCATAGTGCTGTCTATCAGTGGAATAGTGCTGACAGAGCAGACTGATAACTCATCAGTATCTTGTTGCTCCTTCAGAGTGGGGTTGTAGACAATGGACATAGCAACACTTCTTAACTGCAGAGAATATCTTGGCTCTGACTGTGCTGCCTCGAAGGGGTGCTTGGGTAACAAGACTATCTGAACAGAATCAGAAACCATTTGGCTGGTAGAGCAGATTACATATATGTTTATAACTGTGTAGCTCAGTGCCTGAAGTTCAACTTTAAGCAGCATGATTATTTATATGTGTGTGTGTGTTGTAACATTTAGGGTATTGAAGAATCCTTAGCCAGCCGTATCAGCAAATAAAATTTAATTTTCTTCCAAACAGTACAACTTAAATAGCTTCTTTTCAGGAAACAAACATAAACAGGGTGTATCTTCCAGCAACATCCAAGATTTGGCTCGGCACCTCAGGGTTAGAGCCTCAGCCTGCTCATGGCCAGACAACCGGCAGCTTCACACCTCCCTGTGTGATGACGGTCCTCCCGACCTTTTCAAAACACACCTCGTGTGCCACAGACCCTCCTGGCCTCGCCCACACACCAAGTGTGCCACAGGCCCTCTCAGCCTTTCCATCCAGACTCCAGCGTCACGTGCACACAGTCTCCCATGCTCTGCATGAACGACTGCACCACTGCCTGTCTCTTCCTCTCTGTCCACTCTCTTTATAGGGCTGTTATCAGTCACCTGGACAGTCTTGCCCATACACCTGCCGATTATCGTACGATAATCGCGGGTGATCCCGCGATCGTACGATAATCGGCAGGTGTATGGGCAGTGTGCGACCACATCTACTGTACGGTAGCACGACTTTCGTCTTCCTAGCACGCTGGAAAATCGTGCGATTTTCGCGAAGTTGGTAGCGTGCTCGGAAGACGAAAGCCGCACGGGCCGGTGTGCGCAAGCTCACACTGCCCGCTCAACATTGCAATCATCGGCAAGCCCCTCCCCGCTGCAATGATCGCAAGTACGATCTGCCCGTCCAAGATGGGCAGGTCGTACGAAATTGTAATGACCTTACAACCATCGCACAACGAAAGTCGTGCAATGGTTATAAGGTGTATGGCTTTAGAAATCTCCAGAGACCCAGATCCCAGTTATACTCCAGAAAATACGGAAAAATGTATTGTAACACAATACATTTTCTGGACCCTCTCAGCCCCTCTGGCCTAGAGTCCTGGGCGACAAACACAGCAATCACCATAGTGACACGGCACTGTCCTGTCACAATATATATATTTATATTGTGCTGACAATTTACAGAGAGCTTTACATACGGCACATTTACACATTCGCACGTCCCCCTGCCATCAAGGAGCTTAAAATCTAAGGTCCTTATATCATATTCATATATACATGCACACACATATACTAGGGCAAATTTAGACAGGAGCCAATTAACCTACCAGCATGTCTTTGGAGTGTGAGAGGAAACCGGAGCAAACCCACACAAGAACAGGGGGAACATGCAAACTCCATGCAGAGAGTTTCCTAGCTGAGATTCAAACTTTTTGAATTATTCAATCATATTTTAACCATTTTCATTCAGTGTATGAATAATCATGCAATGTATGTAGCATACAGTATATTCCCGTAAGCATTGTAAGACCTTAATTGTCCTGCCGTCATGTATTTTTGTAAAAAGTGCATTATTTGACTTTCATTTCGAGTATAGTTCCACTGTAAATGTATTAATGTACCGCAGTGTTCTTCTGGACCTGAAGCTTTGCAAAGATTTCTTTTGGTGTCACATATTCAGGGAGGGAAGGGAACATTTTAAAGTTGTCCATAGTGATTTGATATCTTAAGTCATTTCCTAACATGAACACCTTTTAATCTGGTTGCTTGGGGGCACCGCAGACACTTTACTTGCATGCTGTAGCTCTCTTGCTCTTACTGGTCACCTGTAGATAAAGAGACACATCAGGCACCCCTGACCGTAAACCAGATTTACCTTCACCTTTGCGAATTCAGTGCCAAAAAATCATGTATATTTCTGACTCACTTCAGCTCCGGGATGGGATGCTGATCATGGAGAAATGTGAAGCACAAGCCTTGGTTAGTGGGAATGCAGGCTTCAGGATGAGAGTAAAAGGACACAGCTGTTTGTTTTCCTGAAAGCTTTTTTTTTTTTCCCCCCTCTCCAAGCAGGCTGAGGGGAAAGGAAGGGGGGAGGAGGGTTAAGCGAGGGGGCTACAAGTGGGAGGATAGCAGGACAAGGGGGCTTTTGACTTGGGCCCTTTCTCAGAACAGCATTGAGCAGCACACGGGAGACACCTGCTGGCCATTTTTCATATTGCAACTAACCTCTCCTCTTTTTCAGGGTGCCAGAGGCCCTGATGGACCAACAGGAGGACCTGGGCTCCCAGGTACCAAGGTAAGTGCCCATAAAGGCACCAGCTCCTTACTTCTGAATTGGCAATGTGAGAAGATTATCTTAAAGTTCAGTATCTGATGTTCATGAGTTTCTGTCCACTTTTATGTAGTTAACCCTTCCATCACCTGCACCGGCAGCCACTGATCTGTTGCATGTGCTTGGATTCTCTTTTTCTGCCTTTGGTACAAACCAATCCTCATCTTCATTACAACATAATTGTAGGATGGACTAGAACTCCCAGCATGCACTGTAACCAGTCTGTTGGCATAGCCTGCTGGTAATTGTACCATATGCTGGTTAGACTTTAATCGAGCATTCCCGTCATGGTCTGAGATGCCTCTCATAGTTAATATTAATCCTTGCAGCACCCTTTTCCCTTTAGAACAAGGACCTGTTCACACAGATCTAGCTGCGTGCCAGCAGAAATAAGACTGCATGTGTATTTCAGTGGCCTTGGAAAAATACAGGAGTGTAAAAAAGTGTTTCCATTTATGGCACCAAGCTGACAGCCCAGTAATGCACCATGATAAACACGGCTTTGTGCATGCATGTGTGTGTTTGTGTTGTTGTTGCTATTGGTATTCAAAAGATTGTTCGAAGACATCTTACTGTGCAGCTCTTTAGTCATAAAGAAGAATTCATTAGTGGAGCAACACAGACGTTATAAAAGAATGGCATTTTTTTTCCAAAGCTGAGATAAATCTTCCAATATGTATATTTTTTATATTTTGTTCATTTATATATATATATTCCAGAAATATTCATATGCATACAATCATCCACATCAGTTTTTAGTCTCCAGCAGCTGACAGTCTACTGTCCCTTGCCTCGGTTACATACACATTTTGGGTGGAAGCTACATCTCCAGTCTTTTTCTTAGGTATTTAGAGAAAGCTGAAGCACCCAGAGGAATTGTTACCTAGTTTTGTTCTGTAGATATTGAGATAGACCATGCTAGTGCACTTTCTGAAAGTGAATGCTAAGTGGAAGTGTCTGCTTACTATAACGACGTGATAAATCTTACTGCATGCCCCAACTGGTTTTTAGATGATCAGCAGCCTTTGCAGGCTGTATTTAGACCTCCAGTATGTGATGTTAAAGGTTCTGTAACATTTCAGCTACAAGTTCACTGAACAGTAGGCTGCAAAGAATAGTTGCCTAAATAATAGTTTAATTTTGCTAGTGAATTTATCTACTCATAGTAATAAACTTTATACAGCAGTTTTCAAAACTTAAAAGGTTTACAAAGTTCAAATAGGTAAAAGTGCTATATGATCCATATTTCCAAATATAATCCATACAAGCCTTAGTTATGAGTTATGACTTTTCTTGTTGCTGCGATGTACTAGATTTTCACCTCAATTAATAAAGAGCATTTGTGGATCATATTTGGACTCCATCACTTTAATTTACTTGCACAGTCTATGGAGGGTAACGGGGGCCCTGTTGTTGAGACTAGGCTGCAGTGGTGAAGGAAGTAAAGCAAAACTCAAAATGTATACATTGCTTTACAAGCGTTTTATAGCAACAAAAAGAAATACTGTACAAAACATATAGCAAACATCAAAACATAACAAACATTTTGAGATTTTGTGTACAAATAACAACGTGTACTTAAACCCCAAGGCATTATTAACTTCTTGCCCAGTAATAGTGACAGGATACCTACTTTTTAATTGATATATTTATTTTGATATCAGTTGGTATACTCTCCTTATCTTTCCTTGAAGTCAGTGTAGCTCTTGTTCTGGCAGGCTCTCCTCACCTTGGCTTCATCTTCATGCATCTGCACCCTAAGTGTGGTTTAATGTCCCCTAATGATGATGTGGCATCAGCTCCTTCTTATGTTTCCTCTATGGATGCAGGCTGAATGTGCAGGCATTGGTAACTCAGCCTGCAGTACAAAAAAGTTCTGACTGTAAAGTATAGAACACTGGTATAGAAACACCCCAGCACATAAAGTGTATCTATATATTCTATACTATACAGCTGGAAATGACAATTACAATTGATAGAAAAGAACGTCTCATATAGCAGTTAATAAACAATGAGTTTAAGGGAATATAACAAAGAGTGGCTATCAGTATCGCAGGCCACGGGTCTGTAACCTCCATTGCCCTGTAGGGATCTCTGCTTAACCATATAGAAAGTTCCATGATTGAAGGAGAGCTAGTCATGTGACTTTGACAGTTTTTTGTAAATAACTTTCATTTGGTTTTTATTGCAGTCCTAAAGACAGCAGAGCTCAGAGCGCCTTTGTAGACCTCATCACTGTTTGTTTTTTTTAATTATAAAAGAGTGTTCTAGGATTTATTTTTAAAGCAGTGGAATGGCCATGGTATGTGTATACTGTTTAGCTTTTTAAACTAGCTCCAAAATAATAAAAACCGGAAGTCTTATGACTAAATATTTCTTGTTTTTAAAATCAGTACCATAAATTAGAAACAATGTGAAGTCCTGAACTCCAGCTATTACTCATCTTATGGCTGGATAAAGTAAGAAAAGCTTAAAATGTCTGTCACGTTTTTATTGCTATCTGGGCACTATCGGGAAGATTTCCCCTTGCTTTTGGCCTTGGAGAGCATTGTCAATGAAACTGTAGGTAAAGGGAAGTCTCCACAACATGGAAACACAAAGAATAGAAATAATTAACCCTTCTAAGAGTTCTCTATAAAACTACAATTGAACTCTAAATAAAATGTCTCTCTGCACAGAACATAGTAAATCCTTACCTCCTACGATCTGTAGAACGCCCCTATAATAAACAGAGAAAGCTACCTGAAGACTTCTGCTGGTGTCTTTCCCCTGGCACTCTTCTACGCTCAGTGATTCCTCTTACCGCCCCCTTTAGTTCACACCAGTGCGTTTTAGTCATGCGTATTTTTCCACGCTTAAACGCCAACATTTAAAAACCCATTCTTTCCAATGGGACCTGTTCACACAAGTGCACGCGTTTCAATCCGCCTGTCACCCGAACTGCTCCCTGAGCTACTTTTTCAGTGCTGAACAGCGCATATTCAATATAGACTTCAATGAAATGCACTGATCAGCGCGTTTATGGGCATTTTTAATAACGTTTCAGCACTGAAACACATATAAAACGCCCAAAGACACCCTTCCAAAAACCACGCGGAAAACGAGCTGAAACGCTGTCGCCCTGGGGTGAATGGGCCCTTAGTAGTGGCATAGGGGTCAGCTGAAGGAACCACGGTGCGTAATGGGGAAGCAGGAATTCAATACACCCAGAAGAGTTGGCAGCAATTTGTCATTACTGTAGTATATAGTAGTACAATAGTATTTACTATTCTCTTTGCGGGAAGACATTTTATTCAGTTTTTTTCTAGTCTATTTAATTCCAACATTTCTATTTCTTAATTTGTCTTTTCCTAGGAAAAATGAATAAGACATTTCACAGAGTACTATATATAGGGAAGCTGTTGCCTAACCTAGCCAAGGGCATTACGATTTTCCTTATAATTATTCCTAATGGTTGGTGTAAACCTTCGGTCCACATCACATGCAAATGTATGACTTGCTTACAATACAGTAGGAGTAAGTAGATTATTGCAGGGTGCAATAGCCATTCATGTCTTCTATTTATACGGCACTGACATATTACACAGCACTTTACAAAGTACATCGACCCTTCTCATCACTTTTTGTCTTGTAAAGGGCGTCAGTCTGCTGTATCTGCAACATTTATTTGGGAGGAAGCTTGTTAACCCCCCAGTATGTTTTGGGAGATTACAGGAAAAATCCTACACAAACAGGGAGACCTTACAAACTTCATGCAGATAGAATATTTAGTGGTATTTCAACTTTGAGCTGGAAGGCTAAGATTGCTAACCACTTAGTCTTGGTGCATTTAATCCAAGCTAGGAGCTAACAAATCTTCTTCCTCTGACAACGGCAAAAGAAAACTTAGAACATTTTCAAACACATGTTATATATTTATCACAAGAACGAACAGGGTCTAAAATGAAGTGAAAGTGGACCTCCAGCCAAAAAGGTATTTTTTTCATTTTGGATAGACTTTGGAAAGTTTAGAACTTTTTAATATCTCTTTGTGTCTCCTTTAGTGATATATCCACTTGCATCTTCTCCCCATGACAAGATGACACCAAGGCAGGAAGTTAGGGTAAATCTCTCCATAAAAGACACAGACAGAAATAGCAACTTGTCAAAGACAGCAAAGTTTTCACAAAAATGGTGATGGAATCTAAAGTAGTTTTTTTTATTAATGAAAGCTAAACAGGACAGTGCGTTTCTGGGCTCTACACTGCCCCACTTCATTAAAGCTAGTACGTTATAATCCTTCAGGAAAGCCTGGACTCAAAAGAATGCAACAATATTTATAGGTGTCATATATGTTGTACCAGCAGATAGAGCAGCAAGACGACTGATAATAAAGGTACTTTGGACTCCATAACCGTTGTTGGGGCGCCCCTGCTGTCTTTGACTTGATTTTTCCTCAAGACCTCCCCTCAGGTTTGGGGTTTCTTTGTTGTACAAGAGTGGCCTTTAAAGTGATGTAGCGTAAAAATAAGATGAGATATTTCCAATGCTTAACACTGACAGCAGGGGATTTTAGCATCTCTTATATATACATTCCAGAAGTAACAACTTCACACAGCTTCTAACTCTCCTTTATTCTGTCCAAAATAAAAATGTTTTAGCAGCAGTCCTGCTTTAATATGACCATGTGATTTTTGCAGAATGAAAAAATACTTTAAAATTTAATGTTGATCTGTCGTAACTTTGGAGAAGAAACCTGACATGATCACCAAGCATCCAGCTTGTGCCTGATGTGTTGTTACAGCTGGGATTCGTTCCTGTGTATTAGATATGTAGGCCAACCATGACCAGAGATGACAGAGCATGTGACTTGTTTTATGAACACACATGCCGCACAATTGTTATTCAACTTGTTGGTCTCATGCATCCTGTCATCTGAGGGCTATGGGGCGGTAGCTACCACATTGCGCCGGGTCCTTCCCTTC